GAAACTCCAAGCGTAGCTCGCTCGCTGACCGAATTTTAACCGGTGGACTAGCTAGCCTATCGTGAGTGTCCACTTCTCGGCTCCGTAAGTTTTCAAACTTTGCGGTATGTCATACAATATATCAAGAAGTTAAAAATCAGAATCTGTTTGTTCCAAGTCATCTTATGACGAGTGTACCTCGTCCGCGCGGAATAATGTTAATGACTGGGACAAGCACATTTGCCCCGTTACCTCTATTTAACTTTGTTTGCCGTATGTTCGCATGCATTTTTAATCTACTACCAACTATGTGGTTCCACTGCGATACAACTCATAATTGTGTTTCACTGTTTCTATAGTTTTTGTAAAAGTTCCAATGTTTTGGCTACGACGGTTTCTGAATTGGTCATTATAAGTTGTTTGTTCGTAACAATCAAATAGAATAAAATTTTGCCTTTCAAATGGAAGCGTGGAAAACTTTGATTTGCGAAATAAAAATTTTGGCCACTGCAAGTTGGTCTTGATAGAGAAACAGGTTTTTAAAATGTTAACGACGAGGTAGGTTTTTAAAAATTTTAATATTAAATACACATTAACACAGTTTGTCTCTGTTGTCACCATTACAAAATTGACGGCTTGAAAATCATTTAAAGTTAAAAAGTAAAATATCCACTGTAGGTCTAGTCACCTCGCGAACGCTATCACTACTTCCGTCATATGAAACATCGAGAAGACTGCGCTTCCTTGCTCGTAAGAATTATTGGCCACAAACTATCTAGTAAACCGAGAAACCAATCAGGATACAACTTACAAAAGTTATCAATGTCAACTTATCGTGTTATAATTGTGTCTTGTGCACACCGAATTGAAGATTGCCAATTCCCAGTAGAAATTAGGAAGGATAGTTAGTGTATACTTGTAGGTGTACCTCAATAAAGCCTTGTGTACCTCTTCAACGGTCGAATTGTAGGTATGCTCGTGAGGATTCCGCACTACAGAGGCGGTTTCCAATTTGTTATGTACACAGGTTGTGTAATGTACAGGAATCGTAATTATTTGAATTCTCGGTATATCGTATTACCAATCCAAGCCTGCAAATACAGTCCAATAAAGTTAGGAATATACGCTGTGGGTTCAAGATGACACTCAAATGTGTAATAACTGCAGAACTACTGGGTTTTGATTAAAATTTCGACTACATATTAAGACTTAAAAATTAGTAAAATGTTTAATGTCACACTGTTGTTGTAATATTCAGCTAAGGCAATACTACAACACATAATGAGAAAAAGCTGCAAAGACGAGTTTCCGGTTTTTTGTTTAGTTTTAGGTTAATTACATAAAGAGATACATTTAGCATCTTCTGTACATTAATTATAATTTAAATCTATTGAGCTATTACATTTCTATTGAAAAATGAATACATTTCTTTGATAACAGTCCAAAGATTCTTGTTACAAAATACTGTAATGGAATTTTCAGTCTTTTGGTTTGACACGATAGAATGTGCTTTCAGTTCTGCTTTGGTTGCTATTATTAGTGTGAATAATGTTTGGTTTTGGGACTCTAAATGTAGAGTTGCTAGTAGTTTATTGAATTCCTTCCAGGTAGTCCGATTGTTTGTGTCTTTCCAAACGTGAATAAGCCACGATTTTTGTAAAATCTTTAAAATTAATTAGAAGTAAACCGTATAAGAAATTTGTTTACTTATGTAATATAATACAAATCTTGTAATAAAATTCGTCCAAAATGCCATTACGGTCGTTTGCTTCAAGCCTGTACATTAATTAGTTTGTGTTGCAGCCTTGATCGGGATTAATATTACTGTGATAAGTTTGTCCAGATAAAGACGGATAAAGCTACTGATTGGGTTATTCTATTAAAACTTAAGCACAGTTACCACCAATAGGTATAGTATTGCGTCACCCTGTGTTCGTCGTTCCACACCGGGAACCAATCAAGGTGTCGGATCCGCTTTTGAAATGGGAATCACGGCGACGACGACGTAACAAGTTTCTTTCATTTCAACGGACAAAACTCGTTGGCAACGAAGTTTAGCCTTTAATTTCGTTTCCCGTCCCCTTTACGTGTATGCACGTATCTAGTCTCGTTCGGTATGAATACACGAAACCATTTTAATTGATCTTCGGCGTTTTGTACTAGATCAGAGATGAATGTCTGATTGTATATAGAAGCGCTATCTCTCGCTATATCTCTCTACTAACTCTCCGATGCTAGGCGCACGTCATTCACGGACGAGAGCTGATTTGAACGATTGTGTATCTGAATTTGGAACCTGCTGAAAACATTACCCGTATTATTAGGTGCTTTGTCCAGTGTCGTTTCGATTTTGTTACTTATTATTGAGGCTCATCAGCTTTTATCTCCAATGTTTCGACAAATTAACGCGGCAACTTTCAGCCAATTGAGATTGTAGTGTATCTTTGACAATGCTTTATTTGGACTCGATGCAACAGTATGTAACATTAGCGACAGCCACGCGTTGTATGTTCAATTTTACTGGGAGCGGACCCTAAATAAGTTATTAAGTATGCCGCCATACACAAAAAGCGTTTTTCAGTCGATGTTAGTACATTGTAGTCACCACCAGCAGTTGTCCAGACGAATATTTAACTACGGCGTGTAAAATAGAACGTATAATGCTTAAATCAGGATTTAGAACTACGCTATTTCTGCATTAATCATACGAAGCTACAGATTCTACGTTTATATATAAACGAATGTTAAAACGGATTCTAGTGTGCAAAATAGGACGTGCAGCAGTGATAATAAATGACAACGCTATTGTTTGAAAATTTGCTTCCATTGCCACACGTATGCTTTCTATGAACATTTTTTACGGTCGCAAAGGAATCCACAACTATATTGGATTTGAAGTTCGTTATTGCAAGTGGCTTTTTCACTTTGGCACTGCGAGATTTTGTCCGTAGTGGGCTCAATTGAAAGTATATTGCCCGCTTTATATTGCTTTTTTCAGTTGACAGTCGTCATTGGACACAATGTTTTATGGGTTTTGTTATAACGCCGGGGTGGCGGCACGTCGGGCGTAATACGTTCGTAAGGAGGGGGAAGCAAAATGATGTTTTGACAATAAAATTGCCAGTCAATGTTACTCGTTTACTTATGAATCGAACGAAAAGAAAGGTTCCTACCTGGTTTTGGGACCCGAAGCGGACTTGGTTTTATCGGATGTGAGGCTAGATGCCAAGTTCTAATCGGAAACTAACGAATACCGCAGTGAGATTGAAATGTCACTACTTGAGTACCTGTTGACGACGTTTACCGCTCGTAACTCCGTGTCGACTTCGATGTGCGATAGTGTTTACGAAGCCATGTAATTGGCGGATTAACATCAGAGTTTACTTTTCTAAATGCGAATAAGCTACAGTAATATGAGTCGTATTTTCAGAGCTGCAAATAAGACTTCTGAAGTTGCTAATGCGGGAGCGCGCGTTGTCCAAATGTCACAATTAATTATTTGGAACTTAATTTATACCTTTTCATTGGGAACTCACGGACTAATTACTGTTACAGTTATGCATAAACACGAATAAAAGGCAGTGAGAGATTTGTAAAGTCACAAAACATCGGCAGGAAGAGAAGACAAGTAATGAAATTGTTAAACAAATATATACGAAGTAGAGGATCACCACCATTAAAATGACATTTGGTCATTTCACGTCTGTGTATTATATGTTTGAAATTCAGAATGATCTAGTATATAATGAATAACGCAAAGAAAAACACAAATTCATAGTCATTTAAAATTCAACTCGACACATGACTTGGAAATAAGTAATCGCATCCAGTTGTGTACATATTGAAACAAAAGTGGCGTTCGCAAAGTTCAATAAATGAAAGCTTCAAGTTCGTATAATTTATTGTCGATAATTTCAGGTCGATCAAACGTACAGTGAACGTGAAGGCACGCACAAAAACGCGTCATTTTTTTTTTTGTTCAATTAAAAGCCATTTGGTCATCAATAAAAGTTTCACGGTGCAGATTAGCGCGAGCTTTTAATGCTCGAAAACGAATATTGTTGATGAAATATTTCGAATACAAATTTGGCTATAGCCGCAGGCGTTGTCCAGTTATCTTTAATTTGTAAACCAATAAATGTTAATACATCAACCAGGAGCGCGGCCATCGGTATCGTTCTGTTCAATTAAATTTTTCACGCTGCCAAACTAATTTGGGAACTATACCGTCGCTTTTCGGTCCCCGTTCCTGTAAAGCTTGTAATTATTTTGTTTGCGCGAATGTTTTTCCCGGGAAATTTTACGTGTTGAACTCCGGTCAACATTTGATCCGGTCGGAGTGTTGCAAAGCGGTGAACTTCGTGCCACTTTTGGTTGAGCCATATTTAAATTTGATGTTGTCACTTTCCCAATTCCAGCTATTTGATCATAATTGCGCATATTGTCGCTACATTTCTGATTACATTGCACATGGCTACTAGTGGTAGACCAGTGGGAAAACGGTTGCTTCGGCAAATTGAAATTGAAATGTCGATGGTTTGAATCACTGTGGCGCCATGTACTTGAGTTTCTAAGTTACCTTTGGGGATGTATGTTAAAGATAACTCTAACGATGAAGGAAAGCATTGCCATAAAACCTGCATGTCCAAGGCCTAAATCCTATCCTTAGTGGAAACCCGGACGAGGAAAAAGATATAAACCATTGTGATGTTTCGATGACGTTCAAAGTACAAAAATATCACTCCCTTGAAACTATCTTCCGTCATAGCAATACAGCACAATTTTGAACAAAATTTCGGAAGCTGTTTCCAGTGAAATATGGCAGCAATCAACTCGTGTCGTATGCACTTTACCATCACCAAATAGATTTCAATTTTACTACTCGCTTCGTTAAGTGCGATCTCGCAATGAATTTTGATTGTTTAATAGTTTTTTTCATGCCTCGTTGGATAAGCTATGATTAAACTAGAAGTTAACTCAAGCCTAGAAATGAAACTGTATTTTACCTATTCTCTATTCAGATTCCGGGATACTTTCAAGACTATGGGGCAGAACACAAGGTAGGTATTACAAACTCCGAGACGAAATCACGTTGTTCCTATTACTAAATGCATAAACTGAGCGTTAACACATTAGCCTATTAAGGACTAACTTAATTAGGTAGCTTTTGTTGATTTAGGCGCGTAAATCTATTTGGTGCTGAAGTAAAGAGATTTTTGGGTTTTACGCTGTGACAAGTTTGATAATGGGTAAAAAACAAAACCTAGTCAATGAAATACGTCCCAAATCAATGTCGCGTCGCGTTTATCGAAAGTAATCTTATCATGTTGGACACCAATTCTATACTTGCTTGCCCGAAATCGCCACAGATTAGTTGAAATCCCTTCCAGCGGTCATGCTTTTCAAAATCACACTTTTATCGCGTGGACACAGTACCGAGTGCGTTAATGAATTAAGCCGAGCGAGACTGAAAACAATTTTGTCCGCACAACGGCGATAATGCAAATTTATTATATCATTTAAAATCCCAAACGTTAACGGAATGATGATAGTTATACGACAATTCGACCCGAGTACAATTTTTATATTAAATTGAGGAATTTGAAATCATGCTTTAATTACGCGTTCCCGAAGTTGGATTAAACATGATATAAGTTTCCTTTTACTTAAAACAACTTGGTAATAAAAGCACACCAGTATTCTTAAAATTGTTTTTCAAAACGTATATCGTATGCAGCGTAAATTGGAATATGTTTTTTGGTAAATTAGTAAATAATAGTGAGCCTATATATAGTCCCACTCCTGGTCTCCCAACACTATAGAAGGGCTTGGGCTATATTTCCCATGCGGGAATAGGAACATCAAACACATCATGAAATTGATTTGCAGATGCGTGAAGGTTCCATCACAATGTTTTACTTCACCTAGTAGCAGGAGAGCTCCTTGTAAAAGAGTTCGTCCGGGAAGTCGTCGTTCGGGAAGTACTGCTGCCTTACGTATTTCTGCCGCCAAGCAGTAGTGTGAGCATTACTGCGTTTCGGCTTTTAAAGATAAAGATGCTGGTTAAACTACAGGCACATAAGACGTTATGTCTCAGGGTGACGGGTACAATGGCAGTGCTCTAAGTTCTTTGCGATTTAAAGCTCGAAGTGGTAACGCAACCGTTATGTATAGACGTGCCGCTTGTTCGTCCCGTCACTTGATGTTATAAAAAAACCGAAAAGTTGTTGATAAATTTCAAATTATATTTCACAAATAAATACCGAAAAACTCAGATGTGCATGCCCGGATTCGAACCGACAGCCCTCTGCTTGAGAGGCGGTAGGTCAAATCATTAGACCACCACAGCTTATGCCTTTTTTATTAGGTATTTTTGTAACTATAGGGTTTGCATTAATATTAGAACACGGGAAAAGTGATCATGAAAACAAACCCGAAACGTTATTATTTTTTTTACGTCAATATATTAAAATAAAAGAAGACAACCGAAATGCGCATGCTGATGTGGGCACCTCCTGATGGATAAAATCAGAATCGAGTATATTCGAGGAACATTAAAAGTGACACCTATACAGGAAACAAACTAAAGGAAAACCGATAAAGTTGTAACGGTCACGCAATAAGAGCCATATGACCAAAAATATCTTGTCGCTAGAAACTGAAACCGCCAAAAGACAACTGATTACTTGGATTAGAACAGCCTCGTACTTTTCTACATTAGCTTTGATTATAGTGACGCTTCCTACCAACCCTTAGGATACTTAGGGTACGAGAATTGCACTGCAACATGTGCATGCACAGAAACCTTCTAAGTTCAAGGTTGTCACAGGCTTCACCTGGGAAGTGCCTCGGGTGAGCCGCCCCGGGTGCACGTGCAGTAACCTCCCTATTTTCCGGATATGTACCGGAACTGTAGGCACGCTCACTTCCTGTTGCGCATAGTACAACAAACGGTTCCCACAGCTAAGTATGTGACGATGTGAGCTCCTTACATCGTCCTACCTTTTTATCGCCTTTCTCCGGTTCCTGGCCACTCGTATTTAAATTTTGAATTGTTCCGTAGCTCTTTTGCCTCCATCCACCGTCACTCCCTGCTCGATCGCGGCAGCGAACACGTCTGCTCTTTAATTTTTTGAACCGTTTACCGGTTACCAAAAATTTCTTGTGCAATAAACATTTCAAATATCATAAATATTGTTAAAACCGGAATAAATATTTATAAAACTGAATTTATTGCCACTAGTTCTTTACCCTTTTCAATTTTGAACTTTAAACGTACTAAGCGAGATGTATGGAGGCTGCGGAGGCTACTACTACTTTCCTGACACGTTACAATCCTTCACAACTCCACCAGTGTCAGCAGCGCCCTTTCTAGTAATGACCCTGTAGTCCACAACAAATCTCCTCTTTGGTGGCGGAGCTGTAACTCACTCACTTCCCGACACTAAGGTGTCTCTCCAGTTCCCAAAAATCCACGAAGCTGGAGGGGCCGGACAGTATCTTGCGACCTTGTCCGGACATAGCTTATTTGGATTGGAACAGTCCAAAGAGACATGAAGATGATGGGTGTAGATGCTGCGCTTACGCAAAGGCGCCCGGAGTGGCGCACGCGGACTAGGTGGGTCGACCCTAAAAGAAATGGAAGATAAGGCCAGAACAAAGAAAGATCAGAAGATCAGAAACGCCTGACGGCTAGATAGACTGTAGCTTTGATACTTATATGTATACGCATTGAAACATCACCAACACGCAATCTTATAAAAATGCAGACGCAACGAACACCAGAAATAATAAATTTTCCATCGTGCATTATAATGAAATTCTAATTAGCAGTTAAATGGTACAGTTGCTATAAAATAAGTGACGCGGAAAATACAGTTAACTATAGAAACGAAGCCAATTTATAGGAAATGAATAATTAAAATCGTATGTGCTTTTGATTTGATTTTTTTTAATTCACAAACCCATGATGTCAAATCCTTTGAAGTATCTTTTTGCTAAAAAATGATGGAACCCACGAAACATATTAAACCCCTAAAATTTTAATCAAGTTTAGCAAACAGATTGTAGCTCTTTGCCAAAATGCAGCTTTGTTAATTTTTGCTTGATCGCCATAAATTCCTATAGAAGGGACTGCGTATACTCTAGAAAGTTCTGTTCGGCGCAACGCACTTGTGGATGTAATTTTGAACAAAATGTTCACTTGGACTTTATTTTTTTAAACTTGCATCGTTCTAAAAGCCCGTGCATGAGTATTAAAATTTCATGAAAGCTGAAGAATTTTGAACATGTAAGTGACGACAATTTTCTTTTACAAATTCAACCCATTTCTTTTTACTATAAAATGATCTAAAATTCCGAAGCGACTCACTGCATCTCGTATTCTAATTACTGAATCATATACTCGTATATCAGTGATTGTGTTTGAATTGTAAAGAGAAATAGTAAAGAGAAATAAAAGAAATTACCACTCTTGTATTTGCTTTTGTCTGTATTTGGCAGATCATACGCTGTATTGAAAGGTTCGTTGGTTTCTTAGTTATTACCAATCTGATATTATGTTACAAAATTGTGTTTTTTTTTTATACAAAGAGGGAAGTTATTAACTTGAAAGCCTTTGTGTGTCTGTGGCATCGCAGCTCTTAAATGAATGGACTAATAATCTCTAAGCGGTTTTATTTATTTGAAGGCAAATTTAATTGGAATGGTTTTTGGCTTTGTTTCATCGTCTGGTTTCTCAGTTTCTCCGTTTGTGTACGTAGGATTAAGATCAACCGTAATTTGAATGTTTATTTTACTTCCACTTTCTGATCGACTTGACATTTGATTTATGGTTTTTTGTTTCTATAACACCAAGTGAGGGGACGAACAAGTCTTGCACCTTGTGGTAAGCGACATGCCTATCCATCCAACAGTTGCTGTGCCACTCAGAGCTTTAAATTACAAAGAGCACTGCCATTGAGCCCATCACCCTGAGACTTAAGTTGACAAGTCCCAGGACCTTTATCTTTCAAAGGAGAAACGCACTAATGCTCACTTTACTGCTTGGCGGCAGAAATAGGTAAAGGTGGCGGTACTTCCCTGGACGAACTCTTTTACTGTCACTAAATGGTAATCGTGTGACATTACAATAATAAGCAACAATCCACTGAAAACACAAAATTCTTGAAAGCCGAGAAAACTGTGACACAAAGTGTGACACACAGTGTCACAGTTTTCTCGACTGTGACATTTGCTAAGTGGATCAGACACACACATGACATTTATTCAAATTGTGTCGACTATTTAAAATTTGATGTATATGCATCGTTCTTTTTTTGTTTCAATTTTGCTTGGTTTTTTATTCTTTCTTTCTGTGTTATTTTTGTGTTGTGGCTTTGTAATAAATGGTTTGTATTCTATTCTAATATGGAAAGCTTGATCTGATGCTACAACTACGACAGTCTGCAGACTATCCATACCCTTAACTACCTACAGTAGATTGATCATGATAAAATTTTAGTAGAATGAAGAGTTGGTTCATTTCTGCCGCCGAGCGGTTATGTGAGCTTTATTGCGTTCCGGTTTTGAACGGTAGAGTGCTGATGAAATCACAGGCACATGGAACTTGACAACTTATATCTGAGGGTGATGGGCGTAGGAGCAGTGACCCTAAGATCTTTGCGATTTAAAGCTCTGAGTGGCACTGCAACTTTTATGGACAAACGCGTCGCTTGCCACCAGACCCGTGACTTGTTCTTTCCGTTACTTGATATATATATATATGTATATAAAGAAACACGACTTTGTTAAATAGTCTGAAATTGTTCTCAACGATTCGTAACATCGAATGTAACATTTTTGAGGCGTATAGGATACACGGTCTTCGCACCAATTACGGTAAAAACCTTTCCGTAACAAACATTTGGCCCGTCCCCGGTCAGCGGGCGGGCCACGGGCTGTGCGACACTACAGTTAATTGTCGCGGCCAATTATTAACGCGGCCGGTATCACTGTTAGTTTACGATAACTGACCGCACACCGGCACACATTTTTACTCCTATGGTTTCGCCTGAAATCC